CCAAAAGGTAACAAGTTTGCATCCCTGTATATTAAATAATGATTAAATTACAAGTAGAGATGTCCCGATCCGATCACGTAATTTTCAAAAGATCGGAATCGGGAGAAAAAGATCGGGGATCGGGATTTTTTTTTTAAATTAATTATTTTAATTATTTTATTTAATGTTACAAAACAAAAATGACCATGTTCACATCTTAAAGTCATCCTGAGGCCTTAGTTTTGGTTTATAATTACACTACATCATGTATGTGTTGCTTCTTTTGGGCACTCTGTTGCCAGATTTGAGAGGAATAAGCAACCAAGACCTGGTTGCTTATTTCTCTCAAATCTGGCAACAGAGTGGGCATGGCGCAGTGTCTAATAGTAGCAGTAAGCTAACGAGAGGCTACGTTCAGCTGGTGACTCCGGTGTCGGGACAGAGAATATGTCAGGAGTTTGGAAGTATTATAAAATTGAAAGCGAAGGCAGTGTAACAGCCAGATGCAATGTTTGCAAGGCGGAGGTTCCGCATGGTGGAAAGAACAGAGCTACGTTCAACACGACCAATATAATACGCCACCTGAGAAACAAACACCACCAAGAACACGACGAGTACAAAGCGGCCACTCAGGTAACGGCACTGAAACAACCAACACTTTCAGAGACGTTTAAAAGGAAAGAGAAACTGCCCCAGAACAGTGAAAAGGCCAACAAAATAACAGCCAAGATAGCTGAATTCATCGCGTTGGATGACCAGCCGTTATCTGTGGTGGAGAAAGTGGGGTTTCGCCATCTCATGGAGCACTTGGAGCCACGTTATGAGTTGCCTTCTCGTCACTACTTTCAGGGTTCTTACACCTTTTCCAAAGTCAAATTCAAGCACTTTTCAAGCATTTTCAAGCATCTTACAGCTGTTGTAAATTACATATTTATATACACATACTCAAATGATTATTTCCCTACCTCACATTAAATCAGATGTTCTTTATGCTATAAACAACCAAATGTGTGTTTCGTGAAAGCATTCTACACGAGGATGACAAATTAAATATTAAATATTTTAATATTTAAAAATTAGTGATCTGTACGTAGACTAGGCTTCCCATATAACCTGTCTGAGCCAATATAAAACAATCAGCCAAATAACTTGTCAATACATTATTGATTACTATTTTTGAGGTACTTTTAGGTTGGCAGTGAACATAAGTCAGAGGTAAATGGTGTACTTTTGCTCCACTACATGTATTTAATACCTTTAGTTACTTCACAGATGTGGATGAATGATGTGAAATATAATCAAGTGTTAAATCAGACTTTAGTTCCACCTGGAGTAAATCCACAAGCTACCCTGCAGTATACAAAGTCATTCAAACCAGCTGCACCTTCACCAGCTTTGAGAACACTTTCATGATCAATCATTATAAAACATATCATATATATTATTCTGGAATGGACCAATCTGCACAACGACTACTTTTACTGTCGCTACTTTCACTATATTTTGATGATAATACTTTATACTTAGCAGAAATGCTGAAGGCTCTGAGTGTTGAGGGACTGTCATGGTTGACACGTCTCATCAACGTTGCGTGGAAGTCGGAAACAGTACCGAAGGAGTGGCAGACCGGGGTGGTGGTTCCCCTTTTTAAAAAGGGGGATCAGAGGGTGTGTGCCAATTACAGAGGCATCACACTACTCAGCCTCCCCGGGAAAGTTTACTCTAAGGTACTCGAAAGGAGGGTCAGGCCGATTGTCGAACCTCAGATTGAGGAGGAACAATGCGGATTCCGTCCTGGTTGTGGAACGACGGATCAGCTTTTTACTCTCGCGAGGATCCTGGAGGGGGCCTGGGAGTACGCTTATCCGGTCTTCATGTGTTTTGTAGACTTGGAGAAGGCGTATGACCGAGTTCCCAGGGAGTTACTGTGGGAGGTGCTGCGGGAGTATGGGTTGAGGGGGTCTCTACTCAGGGCCATCCAATCTCTGTACTCCCAAAGCGAGAGCTGTGTCCGGGTCCTTGGCAGTAAGTCGGACCCATTTCCGGTGAGGATTGGCCTCCGCCAGGGCTGCGCTGTCACCAATCCTGTTTGTAATATACATGGATCAGATTTCGAGGCGTAGTCGTGGGGGAGGGGGTCTGCAGTTCGGTGGACTAAGGATTGCACCACTGCTTTTTGCAGATGATGTGGTTCTAATGGCTTCATCGGTCTGCGACCTTCAGCACTCACTGGATCGGTTCGCAACCGAGTGTGAAGCGGCTGGGATGAGGATCAGCACCTCCAAATCTGAGGCCATGGTTCTCAGCAGGAAACCGATGGACTGTCCACTCCAAGTAGGGAATGAGTCCTTACCCCAAGTGAAGGAGTTCAAGTATCTCGGGGTCTTGTTCTCGAGTGAGGGAACAATGGAGCGTGAGATGGGCCGGAGAATCGTAGCGGTACTGCAGTCGCTTTACCGCACCGTTGTGACGAAAAGGGAGCTCAGCCAGAAGGCAAAGCTCTCTGTCTACCGGGCCATTTTCGTTCCTACCTTCACCTATGGTCATGAAGGATGGGTCATGACCGAAAGAACGAGACCGCGGATACAAGCGGCCGAGATGGGTTTTCTCCGCAGGGTGGCTGGTGTCTCCCTTAGGGATAAGGTGAGAAGTTCGGTCATCCGGGAGGGACTCGGAGTTGAGCCGCTCCTCCTTCGCGTCGAAAGGAGACAGTTGAGGTGGGTCGGGCACCTAGTTAGGATGCCACCTGGGTGCCTCCCTAGGGAGGTGTTTCAGGCACGTCAAGCTGGGAAGAGACCAAGGGGTAGACCTAGGACCAGGTGGAGGGATTATATCTCTTCGCTGGCCTGGGAGCGCCTTGGGCCCCAGTCAGAGCTGGTTGATGTCGCCAGGGAAAAGAAAGTTTGGGGCTCTCTGCTGGAACTGCTACCCCCCGCGACCCCACCACGGATAAGCGGGAGAAGTTGGATGGATGGATACTTTATACTGTTACTTGAGGAACATTTTGAATGCAGGACTTTTACTGTAACAGAGTATTCCTACACTCTGGTACTTCTACTTTTACTCAAGTACAATATCTGAGTACTTATTCCACCTCTGGTAGCGTATTAGCATGAATTGTAGCCACAAAATCACGCAGAGCTGCATAAAAATAGACTCACAATGGTAACAAGTGGAAAATAATATTTACAAATGTGTACAATGATTTTTAGGTAATTTTGACTACTCAAGACACCTGACTTATACATCTTCAAAGGAAGACTGTGTTCATTCTACAATTACATGGGATTAAAGCTAAATGTAGTTTTACTTGTATAATACTTCAATTTTATATAAAAGACAAGTTTGTTTTCATCTGTTTTCAAATAAACAAAGTATTGGCTTTCAGAATATTAAACTCGTTCGGCAAATTCAGATGATAAATACAACTTTGAAGCTTGTAACGGTATAATTACAAGCAGAGAACGGAGTAATTTAACGTCACAGCAGGCATAGCAACAGCCGGTGTTTCTTGTAAGTGTTTCCCCGGTACACAAACGCAAAAATACACAAACACACTCGCGAGCTTCCCCCAGACCAGTAATACAAACGAAAATGTGTCTTCGGGTCAATGCGACTGATTTCGATAGAGCAAGTCACATTTGGTTTAGGCACGAAATATACTACCAGTAGAAATACATTGCTTTCAAAATCACTGTCGAATCAATAGATTATATTTCGTGACTATAACACGAAATGCCGTGAGTGCTTCATTCTTTGAACACCACACGATGGCGACTGTAACACACATAACATAGGTACGCTCATCTGAAATGATTGTCCCCTGCAATTATTATTATCCCTCAATCGAGTTCGCTATTCAGCTAGCTAACGTTAGCTTAAACAAACGTAACATGCAACGTTAGCCTAATCTAAAATTCTCTACTACGGCGTACCTTTCATGTGGCTCGTCAGCGCAGACTCTCACATCATTATTTTTGCAAACTTTGCAGGAGGCTACTCGTGGGCTTGACCCTCGTCTTAGCCATGTATTTGTCTTCTGCTAGCCAACGCTTGTTGAAACGGCAACCTCCTGGCACACAGTCATCTATCACTCTCATCAGAATGCCCAGGTCACACGTAACAAAAACACTTGCAGGTCGCGCGCATCTCGCGGGAAGGCCGCAGCGGAGCTGTTTTATGTAAAAGCGAAGCAATTATTTTTCTTTTAATCTAAAAAGCGAACTATTCAGTCAGACAGCAATTTATTGTAAAAGTAAAGCATTTACATTTTCAAGCACTTTATCTCAATTTCAAGCACCATTCCCAAAATTCAAGCACTTTCCCAACCTTGAAAACACCACGTCAAATTTCAAGCATTTTCAAGGATTTCAAGCACCCGTACGAACCCTGTACTTTACAGAGAAAGCTCTGTCTGCCCTTCACAACAAGCTTCGTGGTCACCTGCAAGCCCTGTTAACAGACGTGCCTGCTTTCGGATTTACCACAGACATATGGAGTTCTTCTGTGTGTCCAATGTCACTCCTTAGCTTCACTGCACAGTGGATCGACTCCCAGTTTAATTTGCAACATGCGACCTTGCAAGCTCAGAACTTTCGCGGATCTCACACAGCAGATCGTGTGAGAGAGGTGATCGAGGGGATGCTTAACAGTTGGGGAATAGATAAGCCACGTGTCCATGTCATTTTGCGGGACAACGCGCGAAATATGGTGAAAGCCATGGATGATTTGGAAGTAACGAGTGTGGGCTGTGTCGTACACACGCTCCAACTTGCTGTGCATGAGGGTCTGCTGTCTCAGCGCAGCGTCATAGACGCACTGGCCACCGCGAGGAAAATTGTTGGACATTTCAAACATTCCCCGTTGGCCTATTCCCGGCTGGAAGATATCCAGAAGGATCTGAAGATGGACATCAAGCGTCTACAGCAGGACGTGCAAGTGAGATGGAACAGCAGCCTCTACATGCTGCAGAGCATCCTGGAGCAAAAGCGGGCTCTCTCTGTGTATGCAGCTGACTACAGCCTGCCAGCCACACTGACAGCCAACCAGTGGACCCTGATGGAGAAGACAGCTGAGGTTAGGGCTGTGCAATTAATCGTATTTTAATCGCGATTACGATTATGGCTTGCGACGATTATGAAAACAGCGTAATTGACAAAATACGATTATTTTGCTGGGTGCGCTTTCGCCCCTCCCTAAAAGCCCACTCGGTCACGTGGGAGTGACATGTGTTGTGAGTGTTCAGCGCGAGCGAAGATGTCAGAACAAGAGCAGCAACTCGTTAAAAAGAAGGGTACAACTATTTCCACTATTTGCAAGTACTTTGCCATTACATTTCACATCGCTAAAGATATCTGCCCAGTTAGCACTGTTAGCAACCAGGGCTTTAAGCAACTTGTCAACACGTTGGACAATCGTTACGCGATGCCGTCTCGGTATTATTTCAGCAGGTCTGCGCTGCCTGCACTATGTGACAAATGCCGTGGGGAAGTTGAGAGAGATGTGGCTTCAGCTGACTACTTTGCTACCACAACAGACCTATGGTCTAGCCCAGGGGTGCCCAACCAGTCGATCGCGAGATGTGTCTAAAAATAGAACAACAATATTCTGTTTTATCGTTAATGTCCTGTATCATAATCTTCCTGTGCCAGAATAATGCACTTGAACGCATCAAAGCTTTGTGATTGGCCGGCGTCACCCCATGTGTCGAGGCGTGGCTGAGGGTCTTCAGTACAGGTGGCAATATTGTCACCTGCCTGCACTCATCTCTGAAACCAGACCATGTAAACAGGCTGTTGTTTCTTGCAAAAAATCTTTAAGAGATGACATGAGCAGCCCTACCAGCATTTGCCATGGTGGCCTAAACATTTTTATTTGGTCTTAAATTGTAGTTCAACATTTATTTCCTGTTACTTCTGGACCATGACGGTTGGCCAGCCTTCAACGTTTAACTGAGTGGAATATGTTGAATATGTTTTACCAAAATGTTGGCTATATGTTAAGGAGTTTTCAGTAGGTTGTGACAGTGCACTGCATCATATTTGATTTAATTTATTTTGGTCTAATTTATTTGTATTTATCATATTAATAATATATGTTTAGTATGGTTTTGGAAGTGCGCTCCAACATATTTGTTGATCTTGTTTATTGGTAACATATTATTTGTTTTAAAGTTCAATAGATGGTCAATGAATAATCGTCAAAATAATCGTGATATCAATTATTGACCCAAATAATCGTGATTATGATTTTTGCCATAATCGCACAGCCCTAGCTGAGGTGTTAGCTCCATTTGAGGAACTCACGAGGGATGTGAGCAATCCCACTGCATCTGCAGCTGATGTCATCCCTGCAATAACAGGTAGTTATTATAATAATAATTTTCTATATTTTTAAATAAAAGAATAGAAATGTTTTTATTTTACTATAATTATTTTATAATCGAAATAAACCATTCATCCATTCATTCAAACAGCCCTCAAACGTGTACTCTCTCGGGAGAAGACCACTGACCAGGGGGTCAGAACAATGAAGAGCACGCTCCTAGAGGCAGTGGAGACCCGCTTTGCTGAGGTAGAGGAGGAGCCACTGTACAGCATTGCCACTCTAGTGGATCCAAGATACAAAGACCGGCAAGTACAGTAAATGAATGTACCATTTGAATGCTATTATAATCGTATCTATTACGTTATGAATTATGTATATCAAACCAACCACCAGTATTCATTATTCAAGCCAATTTCTATTTTTCTTTCCTTTTAAATTTAGGTCTGTTAGATTTTTATAGAAGTAAGGCAGTTGCCTGACTTAACTGTTGTGCTGTGTGGTGTCTTGTGTTTTTCTTTGTTGTGGGTAATTGTTACATTTATCTATTTTCAGATTCTTCACAAAGTCAGACAATCTGAGGCTTGCCACGGATAACCTCATCCTGGAGGAGGCGAAGATAGAGAGGGCTACCAGTGAAGAGCCAGAGGCAGCAGAGGCAGCAGAGCCTATGTGCAAGACACCACGCCAAGAAGCAAGCAGCAGCCTGGGCAGCGTCTTGGACGAGATCTTGGAAGAGAATCAGCTAGAGGCCCGGTCCGTGAGTACATCAGCTGATGTCCAGGTACAGACCTATCTCTCAGAGAAAACCAGCCCTAGGAAAAGCAATCCTCTACACTACTGGAAAGATAATGCTTCACGGTTCCCCTCACTGGCTGCTGTTGCAACCAGGTTTCTCTGTGCCCCCTGCACCTCTGTGGACAGTGAGAGACTCTTTAGTGCAGTGTCCAACGTCCTTGATGAGAAAAGGAACCGGCTCTCACCTGACAGGGTAGAGATTAGGGGTGTTGAAAATAATCGTTTCTACGATGCATTGCGATGCGGACGTGGACGATTCGGTCTCGATGCAGTGACGGAAGATAATCGGTTATAGCGTAGTAACGTTGCTTCCTGATTTTCCGGCCGCGGCTTTACTATAACGTTTTTTTTTTATGTCACTTTAATATCAAATCGGTCGGTGACGCAGAGATCAGGGAACAGACGTGACAGCAGCACAGCAACACCAAACACGGAGCAGTCTGCTTTATCCACCAACACAACACCACCAGTCCAGAACCAACAGCAGAAGGACGCGCTCTGAATCACTCCGTGTCGCTGCGGCACAGGGATTTAAGTTTTTCAAAAATAATCGCGTTACAATCATGTCAGGTTTTTGGTGGATTTAATTAAGTCTTGGATTGCAAAGTATGAATGTCCTCTAGCAATTTTCAGACGATATATACGTGTGTAAAGTTTGTGAAGGCAGGAGGAAAAAAGCTTCCGCGATCACCGTCTCCTCTCCGTTCCTCCAAACCCCGCCCCCTCCCTGAAAATAATGAGTGACAGGCTGATAGTGACCCGATAGAAACTTTATTATTCACTTAATCACTGAGATATGATGAAGCTAATTTAATCTCATACATTCATGGGATTTATGTAACAGTAAGACAGAGAATGTAAGTGTGCACCCACATGCACTATTTTTGTTTGTATATGCTGTTGTAAATACTCCTGTTGTCTGCTGTGTTCAGACTCAAGTCCTGTGTGTGATGACACATTCAGGACATTCAGTGTCCTTTTTTTAACAGAAGACCGTTGCTAGAAGCTGCAGCTAGACTGCAGAAGCATTATTTTTTTGTTTTTGAGGATGGAACAACTTCACACACAGATATAGGGAAGCTAGACCTATACAATTCATTTATTTTGGTTTATAAATCCACTTAATTGTGAAGCCGGAGAGTGAGAGTGAGTAAGAAGTAACGGAGCGTCCACACTACAGCTTCAAAAAAAGCTTGGAGCTGGGCGTGTCTGAAGCTTGGGGATTTTATTCGAGCAACGCGACCAACAACCAATCACATGAATCTCCCGCCCCCGACATACAAAGCAAAAAACCCCGGGGATTTTATGCGAGCAATATATATATAAACTCCCCAAACAGGCGAAAACCTACCAGTTTCACCCACTGTCTCTGCCACCTCCCTCCATGACTGGTTCTTCCGGTTTGTATCCCGGTAGGTGAAGAGGGTCTGGTCATACAAAACCGGGTGATTTGCTACGGCGATAATTAGTTTCTCCTCCATCTTTTTTTTAAATATAGAAATGAACGGCGGGATATCTCTCCCAGCTTAGACGTGGTTTGATTGGCTAGGGCTTGAGCTGTCAGATTTTCAGAAACGGGATTTGATTGGCTGGCGCTGGCCAGGGCTCGAGCTTAAGGACGTCCCGTCGTCGAAAAAAATAGTGTTGGGGAGCAGAGTTGGGTGTAACGCGTTACTGTAATAATATTACTTTTGTCGGTAACGGAATAGTGTAACGCGTTACTTTTATAATTTAGTAATCACACTACAGTTACTAACATTGCCCCGACACGCGTTACTTCGTTACTTTTATAAAATAATCACACTCACTGACAGACTAGAGGGGTTTCCGCCGCAGGTTTATATACACGTAGGCCTATGTAATCTGCGCGACTTGCGAGACCACATCTCCACGTGCAGTGCTGCATAAACATGGATGAGTCTTTTCATCTGTAAACTCCCTCAACGGGCCACTCGCTCTCTTTTGTTGATCGCCCTCTCACGGGTGAACAGTTCAATGTCCCGCTTCATTGTAGGAATTCTGTCTCTACCACTTTAGTTTGACCATCTCTGTTACTAAGTTATGGAATACTAAATACTTAAGTAATTAGATACCTTACCGTTACTGCGCTCATAAAGAATGATAAGAATAATGCGTCTTGAACTGGTTTCATTAATTAGTGTCTTGACGTTTCACAGACTGTTAGTTTGTTGTGGTAGGCTGGTAGCCTATTTTAGAGCATATAAAAAGAAAGACTTGTGTTATGTCTTCCTTAATGCAATAGTAATTGGGGGGCAAGTGGAGTCTCGCAGAGGCAAAACTGTGGCGCGCACACTGTAGGTGCACCGCAGTCTGCTTGATCTGCCTGTAGGGAGGGGCGGGCCGGCCCTGCGAGTAAAGTAACGAGTAAAGTAACGAGTTACTTTATGTAGAGAGTAACGAAGTAGTGTAATATATTACTTTTTTTTAAAAGTAATATGTAATATATAACTTTTTTTTAGTAATGACCCCATCTCTGTTGGGGAGGATACAAAATAATTTTGGGATGAATTTGGGACAAGAGTTAAAAATAAAAATACCCTGCTAACTCACGCACGTTTTGTGTAGCACACAGTTATTAAACCTCCATGTCAACATAAACACACACGCACAAAACATTTAGAAACCCGCGAAATACACACACATGTAGCTACAGCTGTGCCGCTGGCTGTCAGTCAGCCGCCCAGCTGGCTGTCAGTCAGCCGCCCAGCTGGCTGTGCCCGCGAATTCCTGGTCCGCAAATTCGCGGGTCTAGCTATGTACTGAGTGTGTGTATTTCGCGGGTTGAGTGATGTACCATCCCGTGGAGGAATTCTGAAATGTTTTACCGTTACATCACAAAAACGCACAGCAGAACCAGACCCTGGAGCGCCGGTGTTGCAGTATAACTTGAGTCATGACAACTGGCGACATTCTATTATTTTCGTCATAGGAATCCGGGGCGTTTACATTGAGGACCCATTGTTGACTTACCATGTCGATCGCCTCGTTTGTCGTTTACGTTCATCTTTTGCTATATCTGCCTTCCTAAGATCACTTTGATGCACATTCAGTACTCGTATGTGAGGTTGTGGGTAAGAGGTGGATATCGTTCTTATTATTAGGGATGCACCGAATATTCGGCCACCGAAAATTATCGGCCGAAAATGGTTAAAAAGGCCCTTTCGGCTTTCGGCCGAAAGGGTTTTTGCACCGAAAAAATATCACCGAATGTCAGAACAGGCTTACGTTGGTAACCTAACGTGTTGTTGTGATGGCGTAATAAAGACGCGGCGACCATGCTCGCGGCTAGCTCACAGGGGGGGGAACATTGACCTTTGTCATCGAGATTGCCCTGAGCCTTTAACAAATCGTATTAAATAATCTGATGACAGACTGTAAACAGAATAGCTGAAATTTTAACAAACTAAATAACTCAGTTTCCTCTAACCATTAACCCATGTTTGTATCATGTAGTTAACTCCGTGTGTTGCTGCTAGCATACATAACACCTGACGTGGAAACGTTACTCGTGATGGAGCTACAGAGCTGCTAGAAAGACGGTCGAACCCGGTACATTCCTCCGTCTGCATGCGGTGCACTTTTGCTAAATGTTTAGACAAATTGCTCGTGCTTACATGCTAAACTCTTATTGCACTTATGGTAACAAGTATTCTCCACATCGAGACAGGTAAAGTTTAACCACACCTCGGAGCGCGTTCTCTCCGCCATCTCCGCAGTGTGCTCCGCTGCATGTAGCAGCTGCGTGTGTGTAAACTGCCCCGCCCCCTCTGATCGAAAATACATCATAGACGCATTTGTTGTCTTTGCATATTAGAAACGAGTTGGCGACACTAAGACTGCGATATAATGTTTTTTAGCAATAATACATGACATATATAAATGTACTGTATGCATTCAAAAGTGCTGAATAAATGTTTTATGGACTTCACTTAAATAATAATCACTATTGATTATTATTTAAGTGAAGTTTTGCCATAATCATGTCTATTTCCATAATCAGGTAGCTGAACAACATTGGTAAAAAATGTATACATTATATATATATATATATATATATATATATATATATTTCTATTAATCATTTTCGGCCTTTCGGCATTCGGTTTTCGGCCAACTGTTTCCTATTTTCGGTATCGGTTTCGGCCAAGAATTTCCCATTCGGTGCACCCCTACTTATTATACATCCATGATCGTGACGCTTACAGGGAGGTATCGAACATTACAAAGTAGGTGACTGTGTGGATGCCTGTTCAAAATATTGCATACTTGAATAAATCATTTAAATTATATATTTGTGTCCGACTTTCATTTGTACATCGTTAATGTGATCTATAGTAGCTTTGATAGCTGTCCATACCTTCAGACAGCCTAAAATTAAAACACAAGTCGTTTATTCACAGCCGGAACGCTCATCGAGATGACTGGATCACTCATGACAAGTTGTGATCAGCTCCGATTAAATTGTGATATAAATGCTGTAGCTATTC